AAGAAAAACGACCCCCATAGTGGAAGAACCACACACAAGTTTTAATTAAGACACATAAGATGAATAATCTTAACAAGTTTTAGTGTGTGTAAATTCATTATAGTTGACAAATACGCACTTCTTAAATACTTTTTAAATAATTTTATAAAGGCAAGCAATGAAATAGATAGCGTAATTTGGGTACCTGATGATGGCACTATGTTGCCGAAACATGTCGTGAAGTAACAGGTGAAATCGAGTGCACTACAAGACGGCAACTGTATACATTTCTTGGGTATTATTATACTATGTGACATAAGATAATATGTGTTATATAGCATTTTATTGCATGGTACTGCTTCTATGGCAGTTCTGGGCTGTATTGCCATGCAGTTTGGTAGATGTTTACCCAAGTTTCAGAGGATCATTTTGCCTCTATCTTCAGGGCAGTACTCCGAAATGTCGGTAAACATCTGCCACACTATAAAGTCCCACCCCAGAAGAGGGAATTCTTCGTTCTCACTTCAGTGGGAACCTCATACCTCTCAAAATTAAATTTTCCCTAAAACTTGGGCGTACTTCCCCAACGTGAAATTTAATCGAAACCCGTTCAGAACTTTCAGTTCGTCATGTCACTGCAAGGTATTTTGTTAAATGTAAGCAGTTTAAAGGTGATTTAGTAATGATAATTATGGGTCCAAGTCTTTTACCAGATGTCTTATGACTGCATCTGTATGCGTTTATTTTTGTAAATGTTTAATTGAACGCGCAATGGGTAGGCCCTACCTATCGGTATGTTTAATCCACTAAACGACAACGAACTACGCAGTAATTTCGTTTTGTTTACATACAGAAAGTTGTTGGGTGAACGTAATCGGTAACACGACGCAGTATTGTTAAATTTGCAATATACTTTTTTAAAAATATTAATAGATCATTAACAGTACGTGCTATATCACCACCCTGCATAAAATATGCATGTATTTTTCCTTCCGTAGCGCTCTCAATAAAAAAAAATGACCGAAGACTGTCACTGACATAGCACTCGGAAGTTACAGTCCGTTAAAAATACGAAAAAAAAAGCATGGGTCTTACTATTCGTGTAGCAGTCTTGTATGATTGTACACGGTAGGAAACGTAAAGTTTTGGTTAATCTCCACACTTTTGTTGACGGAGCCGCTGCCTATTGAACTAATCTTGTTGGAAATTTGTTAAGACGAATGCTCTAATACGACTCCGGTTTCTTCGAGCTTCTCCTCGACTTGCACAGTAGGCTGCTTAGTTCATTTCGCTTGCCGAACGCACTTTGCTCACCATTTAGAAAACTGTTGATGATACAGGCACTCGACCACCAGAATATTTAGGCGAAATCTTCTTTTATACATTTATATGATTTAATTTTGGTGCCTGGTCAATTCAGTCGGTATAGCGAAGGGTTATTGGCTGGGCGACCTGGGTTCGATTCCCGTCAGGGGGCGAGAGATTTTTCTCTACTCCACCCTATCCAATGGGTACCGGGGATAGAAAAACCGGGGCGTGAAGCTGACCACTCACCTCCACTTAGAGCCGAGGTCAAGAATGGTGGAGCTATTCCTCCACTCGCCGACACGTCATAATGGCGTGGTGGTAAATTAATTAAAACACAGAAACAACTTTACCATTTTACTTTATGATTTATTTTTCACAAAGCATCGTGCAGAGAAATCCGCTGTTCATGAGTATATTTCGCTATTTCAATTGGATACTCGAGAACACGAGAGACTCTGAAAGCAACCACACGGCAACATCAACACGAGGAGAACTGCGACCTATTGTTGGAGTGAATCATTTCCAAGTGCGATAACCGCTAAGACAAACAATAACAGTGACTGCATAGGCAGCTGAGCTCTCTGTTCATCCAATTGTACAGGAGCTTACATCACGTTCCAGGAAAATTGCATGTGTACTGTACAGTCGTTCGTTAGGTTCGGATATGAAATTACTTCTCAGAGCAATGAAAGTTTGTGAGAAAGCTGACAAGTAACCAGCCTTTACTGAGGGCTTATTACGTACTTCCAGATCACTGCAGGACTACAGTAATGTGGAAATGTAGTGTACATTGTAATGAACGTAAAGGGTGGGATGTGAGGTCTCAAATTGGATACAACTGTAAGTGTACCATGAAGTTGTCCCTGCGCTTAGTCAAACGCTACCCACGAAGACTTGTGGGGGAACGGAGTTGTAGCTCCGCTATTCTTGACCTCGGCACTAGATTCGGGTAAGTGATCAGCTTCACGCTCCGGCCGCATTACCCCAGGGAAAGAGCCTCCGGTACCCATTGGATAGGAGGCTGAGTGGGTCCGAGAGGTCGGAACGCTATGGAAAAAGCTCTTGTCACTGCTGGGAATTGAACCCCGGCCGTCCAGCCCGTAGGAAGTCAGTATACCGACTGAGTTTCTCAGTTCAGGGCAGGAATCTCATTTCATGGCGCTTATTCTTGATCGTCGTTGCTACTCCACAAGAATTGACTGTACAAGGATACTGTTCATCACATTCAGGAACTACGAGGTTCGAATCTCTATCGCGAATCTTGCCATAATGGCTGAGATTTTTTCGTGATTTTCCTGAGTCCTTCTACATAAAAGCAAGTTTCTTGAAATAAGCAACAGTCATTTCCTTCCACATCTTCGTCAGTTAATTTATACGAGTAAAGGCTCCCACACACAGACGCGATAGGATTCGGGACGATATAGCACTCCGGACGAGAGCGGCTGTTTACCGAGTGGACCGCGCACACAGCCGCGACACTCGGGAACTCGGGAATCTTTGACACCCGATAACCAGCTGGCCATGACTCACACTTAATCAGTATCTATACGCAAGTGAAAAGACATGGGTAACCAAATGGAACAAATAATAGAGTTCGTCAAGGAAAATGCTTTATTGTACGATACTCATCGTCCGATGTACGAGGATTCACGAGCTAAGGATAGAAAGTGAATTGGCTGTTAACAATGAACAGAGACAGCAAGTAGAAAAATCTGTATATATTTATATAGGGTTAAGTATACAGTAACTGTGGACATTCTTAGTGTAGGCTATGCACCAGTTCCGTTCACTAACATGAATTCCAGGGGCAGTCATCTAGTTGAAGTACGCAGCAACCCGCTCTCTAATGGCGTAGCTAACGTTTGCCGCCCTTGGGAGACGTAAAGGCTGGATAGGGAACATTTCTCCTTCCAGTGGCTCCACTCGTAGCAGTTCTTCCCTGTACTTTTCATCACGGGTTTTGAGACGTAGAAAATTATGAAGCAAACACGCTGCTGATACAGTGTGTTTTATATTTCCTCCTTTCAGTTCTATGGGTCTCAAAAAAAATCCTCCACTTAATGGCAAGAATAGGCCTCCGGCAATTGGTGTATTGTTTAGTGATACCTTCTTGCCCGATGGCTCTCAGGATTTCATCAAACCTGTCAATTTTCATCCTGAAATATATGTAGAACCGTTTTTCGTCCTTCAGGAGTTGAGGTATCAATGTATAAAACTCCCTTAGTTCCTCTCTTGACAAGTTTATATCATGAACCCAAGTGATTCGTCTCTTTCGCCTAAATACGAACACACATAGCAACCACTTATACATACTTAATTAGAGACTCGTTATGGACTTGTAAATATTTGTACATATATATGGCATACTGAATATGTGGAGGAAAAGAACTACGCAGATTTAGTGTTCAGTAAAATACTTGCCGGGATTCACCTTCGTCTTCATCAAGAGCGACAGCTAAAAGCAAAACTTC